CTGAGGAAGGGTCACTGGACCTGAAAGTTAACTTTGACTTCTCTCCACAGAGCTGCCAGACCTGCTGAGCTTTTCCACCCATTGCTGTTTTTGCTACAAAGTAACTTCAAAAGTTTAAGGACCATTTTAACTTGTTCAATTTTTAGCAGTTCTCTTAAGTGTCACATCTGGGGCAAGGATCTTATTGTAGGGAGATGTCTCCGACATGTACCTGGGCAACCAGTAACTGAAGATTCTCCGAGATAGTAGGAACTGCAGATGCTGGAGAATCTGAGATAACAAGGTGTAGAGCTGGATGAACACAGCAGGCCAAGCAGCATCAGAGGAGCAGGAAAGCTGACGTTAAGGGCGTAGACCCTTCTTCAGAAAAGGGTCTAGAAGAAGGGTCTAGGCCTGAAACGTCAGCCTTCATCCAGCTCTACACCTTGTTATCACTGAAGATTCTCAGTCGCTTTAAAAAAAGCTTACTCTATATCAAGTTACTTTCCAATCAGGGTAGCAGCCAGCGCGTACCTGAAAACTTCGCAAACACCATTTTACCAATCATTCCATTTATTGTCTTTTTCTTTTTACGAATGCATATGTGCAGACAAGCCTGTTGTTCTCTTCTTCCTAAGAATATCATTTTCTTTAATTAAATATCAAAGTTAAAAATTTCCTCAAAATAACTGTCGAATAAAATTGATCATGTCACGTGAAAAATAATCTCTACAATTGAATCCTGTCATTTTCCCTAAATTTCTGGGCGTTGAGAGCTTGGATAATTGAATAATTGAGATAGCCCTGCCTCCCAACACTGTTCCTGTCTTATTGTTCCTGTCTTCACGAGCTACCACCCTCAGTGAGTTCTGACTCTTATCCAAGGAGCTGTAGCTGATACACCATACAGAGATTTAATGTCTATAGAAGAACTACAAGTAACCTGCATTGGAACACCTTCGACGCCACATGACATTTCACCATGGCTGTGAGCCTACAGCCGGACTCCTTGCTGCCAATCATGGTGAATAGGCAGTGGAAGTGATTATAGAGACATACAGATGAAGTCAACGCAAAAATATGAAGACTGTGGAAGGGATTTAACAGTTTATCCAAAACTGGATGTCCCAAAAGCCATCTGACAGTATTGAGAAACCCATAGAGCCATAACATGTCGGAACAAAATCAGGCCATTGAGCACACTCTATAGCACCCCCAAAACTCCCCCCTCTTCCAATGGCACTTGAACACTTAAGTGCAGAGAATGCGACACCCCCCCGCCCCCCCATTTCATCCTCTCTCATCACCATCTGAGTACTAAACACTCCTTCCATATGGAAGAGTATTCACGTTCAGAGAAACATGGCTCACTATGCAATTCCTTCAAGAATGGGATTGCAGAATGCCTCTCGGGTTCTTCTGGAAAGTTTCGGCTCAGATTGGGAAGCTCTGACCCATCTGGACTCTGCCCCTCGTGGCTTCAAAACGGGTGACCGGGAAACCTGGTTCCAGTTTCTGAGAAACGTTAGCGGCACCTTCATGCACCCCCTGGGCTTTGAGGTGCTGATCGACCCCAGCAGCCGCAATATCTCCGAGTGGAAAGTGAAACAGGTTTTTTTTTACAATGGCCAGTACTGTAATATGATCGCGGCACTGGCAGGAAAATCCAGCTGCACCAAGAGCAATCTGATCCCAAATATGCATCGCTGAAACCTCACGTGAAACATCAAACCTAGGGAGGCTAAAGGAAGATGGGGTGACTATTTTGTAGATTCAGCCAGCAAGCATGACCTCTAGCATCTGGTCCGCTGACCTTTTGTTCTGTTCTTCATCCCGCTATCACTGACTTCTCTGTGCTCAGATTCTTAGTTCAAACTCAGTTCAACATAAACCAGAAGCATTCTTTGATTAGGCAATTGAGACTACAAGAAATGTGAACAGCACTAGGCTATTCGGCCCCTCAAAACTGCTCCATTCCCATAAACCAACATTCCTCACGACCATATTCCTGTCCTCTCCATGTAACCCTTTATTCCCCAACTGACCAAAAATCTATCTCAGCCTTAAATATACAGCCTTCCAGACTCAACATTGATTTCAAAATTTGCCCCGTCTCTCTGTTTTGAGTTGTCCCTTCTTATTGTTTTTGGACAGAAGCTGTTGGTAATTATGCTTTTGTTTTACACATGAAATCTCTCTAGACTCATCATTTGCATCTTTATCTATCTCAATACATTCTACTTTTGCCTTGGTTATTATCCCCTTTGTCATTTTAATCTCTCCTGTCTTTCACCCTGTCAGAAACCTTCCCTTTTGTTATTCCTCTTTTCACATTTCCCTGACTCAGTACTTTGGTCACAACATCCCTATCCTGAATCAATAATTCTATGTCTCTCCACAGATGTTTCCAAATATGTTGAACACTTCTAGCCTTTTCTATTTTTTATTTTACAAAAAGGGTTTCAGATCATTTAATTACCCTCTGGCATTTCTGTATTGCAATACCCATGAGCCACAAAAGTGCTGTACTATAATTGGGGCATGTGCTTTCTGCTGTGACCTTTTTAAATATGACCAAATGACTAAAGATTGTTACGAAGAGTTTGTGTGTTTTGATCCTAGCCATTTTGCTTGGAGCTATTCTAGATCTCAAGCACCACCCAGTTAACCCCTATCAACTTCAGGCAGAGAAAGCCAGATTCCCAAGACATTTAAAAGGGGTTATAGAATTGACCAGTCCCATCCCAAAGGAAAAGAACCAGTTGAGGTTATTACCTTCCTATGGAAAGACTTTAGATAAAGTTACAGCTGGATTGTGATTCTCTTGCATATTATTAGAGTCCGAGTTAGATAAGTACTCCTCCATTGAAAGTGGGTACAGAGTTGCCATATTTGAGTTATTGGTACAGAAAACTGTGAGACAATATCAATTGAAAAATAGGCAGATATTTATTAAAGAACCAACAAGTAATTCAACATCTATGTAGAAACCAAAAAGCACAATATTAGATGGCTTATGAAAAGAAATAAAAAGCAGAATCATATTTTTGATAGGAAACCCAATGTAAATTTTAATTGTTGCATCTATCTAATATTAAAGTTAGATTTCTTAATGTGCAAGTGACTGAGATTTGCTTTGTTTGTGAGAGGAATCTAATCTATTTGAGTTATCCTTAGAAATATAGCATAAATTTTGAGAAACCATAATTAATTTCCCAAGTAAAGGGGTGTTTCTTCAGTTGGAATGTTTTAATCCAAATACTTTGTATGAAAAGACGACTCATTGTAATGGAAATTTTCAATACCATGAATTCATGGCTTGACTCACCCCAGGAAGGTGAGGCCTGGTTAATGATTGTGGTGGTCAAACATTTCCTTTAGTCAGAGGATAGTGTTATATCCGATATTATGACTTGGAACATGTCCGATTTTTAAAATCCATTCATGGGATGTGGGTGGCGCTGGATGGACCAGCATCTAGTGCCCATCCCTAATTGCTCTGGACAAGATGCTGGTGAGCTGCTTTCTTGAACGACTGCAGCCCATTTCCTGTAAGTAGACACAAAATGCCATTAAGATTCCAAGATTTTCACCCAGCAACACTGAAGACACCACAATATATTTCCAAGTCTCTACACTGTATGACTCAATGACTCGATAAGTCAGGATGGGGAGCAGCTGGTGGTGGAGTTTGTAGGTCACTGTGTTCCCATGTATCTACTGCCCTTGTCTTTCTAGATTGCATTAGTCATGAGTTTGAAAGATGCTGTCTAGGAGACTTGCTGATTGTGGCTTAAAGGATCAGTGCCTGCATTGTACATTTACATTCCCAGTGTAAAAAAAAATCTGTATTGTTATTTTGATGGTTGTATTCTCAGAGAATTCACCTTGCCGTGAAGGGTCAGTAAATCTCAACTTGTTTTCATTTCTGCCTTCTTGTAAATAAAAAGAATAATTTGTGATAGTTTACAGGAAAATTAAACTACTAACTAACATTACTGCCTTTTTTTTACCCATATACTTTAATTCATCAATAGTCAAATACTTTATATGAGTCTGAATTGACAGTTTGGATAAGATGAAATTTTGTGACCATTAATATGAGAGGATATGGCGGAGGTATACAATGTAAGGTACAGGGTGCTGGAAAGAAAACTTTTATGAGTTTGACCTCTTGAAGGCCCTGGATAAAATGCAGCAAAAGAGAGAGACTCTTCTGTCCCCATGGGAGGAAGCTTCAAAAAAATCTGTGCAATGTTGAGGGAGCTGTCAGTGTCTTTGATTTCCTTTCTTTCTAATCTACAAAACTGCAGTCATGGGTCACATGTACACTGATGACACACAACTTTACACCAGTGTTGTCATTCACCTGCTCACTGTTTGTCCAATTTCCTCCCCCCAAGCACTAGAGAGCCAAAGTGATCATCTTCAGTCACCAGCGCAAATCCACACCATTGTCTTCACATCTCTCCCTCCCTTCCCAGCCATATCATGCCTTTCAATGTATTTTCAGTCCCAAGCTTAGGTTTGATCTCACCCTCCTGATCACAAAGACTGCCCCCGTCCAGCTTCCTAAACC